TCAGATAGTATACAAGGGATTATTTCAATCCTTTTGTATCTGTTGAGGCTTGCTTTGTGACCAACTATATGGTCTATTTTGGAGAAGGTTCCATGTGGTGCTGAAAAGAAGGTGTACTCTTTTGAGTTTGGGTGAAAAGATCTGTAGACGTCTATTAGGTCCATTTGATTTAGGGATTCTGTGAGTGCTTTTATTTCCCTATTTGGTGTCTGTCTGGTTGATCTGTCCCTTGATGAGAGTGGGGTGTTGAAGTCTCCCACTATTAAGGTATTAGGATCAATGTTTGATTTAAGCTTTAATATTGTTTCATTTATGAATGTAGGTGCTCTTGTATTTGGGGCATAGATATTCAAAATTGTGATGTCCTCCTGTTGGATTTTTCCTTTGATGAGAATATAGTGGCCCTCCTTATCTTTTTTGATTAACTTCGGATGAAAGTCTATTTTATTAGATATTAGGATGGCTACTCCAGCTTGTTTTCTGGAACCATTTGCTTGAAAAACATTTTTCCAGCCCTTTACTCTGAAGTAGTGTTTATCTTTGTTGCATAGGTGTGTTTTTTGGATGCAACAGAATGTTGGGTCCTGTTTCTGTAACCATTCTGTTAGCCTGTGTCTTTTTATTGGTGAGTTGAGTCCATTAATATTGATAGATAATATTGACCAATGCATGTTAGTTCCTTTTGTAATGGAGTCGATGATCTTACCTTGTTTCATTGCTTGTTTTCTTTTCATTTTTGTTGGGATATTATCTATATGCCCTGTTTTCTTGGGTGAATTCATTTTCGTTGGATTGGAGTTTTCCTTCTAGTATCTTCTGTAGGGTTGGTTTGCTGTATAGATATTGCATAAATTTAGTTTTGTCATGGAATATTTTGTTTTCTCCATCTATGTTGATTGAAAGCTTTGCAGGGTATAGTAGTCTGGGTTGACATTTGTGATCTCTTAGAGTCTCCATGATGCTTGCCCAGGCCCTTCTGGCTTTCATAGTTTCTGATGAGAAGTCTGGTGTGATTCTGATAGGTCTACCTTCATATGTTACTTGGCCTTTTTCCCTTGCTGCTTTTAATATCTTTTCTTTGTTCTGTAGATTTAGTGTTTTGACTATGATGTGACGTGATGTGTTTCTTTTCTGGTCTAGTCTATTTGGTGTTCTGTAGGCCTCTTGTATATTTATGGACATCTCTTTCTTTAAGTTGGGAAAATTTTCTTCTATGATTTTCTTGAAAATATTTTCTGGACCTTGGAGCCTGGAGTCTTCTTTTTCATCAATTCCTATTATTCTTAGATTTTGTCTTTTCATAGCATCCTTGATTTCTTGGATATTTTGTGATTGGCATTTTTCTGATTTTACTTTTTCTTTGAGAGAAGTATCAATTTCTGCAAGTGTGTCTTCAGCTCCAGAGATTCTCTCTTCCATCTCTTGTATTCTGTTGGTGATGCTTACTTTTGTGGTTCCTGATCTTTTCTCCAAGTTCTCCAGCTCAAGAGTTTTCTCATTTTGTGTTTTCTTTATTGATTCTAATTCTGTTTTCATGCCTTGCACCATTTCTTTCATGTGTTTGAATTTGGATTCCTGTCTCTCTACGATGGACTCTATTTCTTTGTTCATTTCCTTTTTGTATGCCACTAATTTTTTCTCTACTTGTGCCTCTATTTGTTTGGCTATGTTTGCCTGTGTTTCTTTAAGGGTTTTGTCTATTTCTTCTTTCTTTACCTCCAATTGACTGGCCAACTCTTTGAAAGATTTGTTCATTTCCTCCTTATGAGCCTCAAATAATTGAGCAAGCATGGCTTTAAGGTCATTTTCCTGTGCTTCTGATGAATTGGAGTATCCATCGATTTTGGGGTTTGCTGGTAAAGTCATGATGTCCTGATTTATGTTGGAAGTGTTCTTTCGCCTACCCCTGGCCATTGGCTTATCTGAGACCTTCCCTGTTTGTTTTTGGAGTCTGCCGATCAGACTGGTACTGTCTCTCTCTCGAGTCTGGATAATTCTTCAGGAAGTTGAGAGAGGTCCCGTGTCCTTAGCGTGTGCTGAGGACTAGCTGTACAGGCAGGTCACTTGGCAGAGATCAGGGTATCTGGGCTCTCTGCTCTCTGGTTTGGCCCTGCTTCTTTGATGTGCTCCGCCAGTTCCGTGCTGTTGTCACTGCCAGATTATGAGGTCTTGCTGCAGCTGGAGATTTCAGGATGGTCACGTCAGTGGGAATCGGGGTAAGCAGCCTTTCTGTTCTCTGGTTTGGCCCTGGTTAGTCTTAAACTGGAGGGCTGATGTGCCCCGCCAGCTCAGTGCTGCTTGGCCGCCAGTTTAGAAAGTCCTGCTGTAACTGGAGACTGGGTTGCTAGTCCAGATGCTTTCTGGGAAGTCCTGGGGTCTCTTCACTGTGCTCTCCAAGCTTCGGAGGCCCAGCGTCTGGTGTGTCTAGCTTGTATGGCGTTTCTGTCTGGTTTTGGTGAGTATATAGAGTATTCTCTGTCACTGTGGGATTGGGCGGGCCGTACCGTCAGTGATAGCGATCCTGCGGAGCTAGTATGGTGTCTAGCAGACTTGGGCCCTGGGAGGATGGTGCAGCCGCCGCACGAATCTGGGGCTCCAAGACACAGTACTGCTGGCCTTTGCCGATAAAGGGCTTGGGGCTCCGCCTCAGTGGCTGCAGGCCCCAGGCAGTTAGGTCGGCGCTGAGAAAGGCGAGTCCGCTGTGCCGAGGAGGAGGGAGGTCTGGGGGAGGGGAGTGCCGAGAGATCAAAGGACCATTTCTCACCTTCCCCAAACAAGTCCCTGGGTGACCTGAGACCAAGGTTTTCACCTCCTGCGATGTTTCCTGTTGTTTAGAAAGTCTCTCCATTGTTTCCCTGGCTTCAGAAGTTCTTCCACTCATCAACTCAGAACTTTATCTCTTCCACAGCTCGGAAATTGTGTGTGCTAGTCGCCATCTTGGCTCCACCCCCCCCCCAATTATATTCTTTTTATTTTGTCTCCTAACCTCGGTATTCTATATATCAGATTTCACATAATATTCTAAAGTATCTTTATTTTCATAGCTCTTAACATTAGAGTTTAAAAAGTTCCTTAAACTTGAGCATCTTTTGGATATATGCCTAGGAGTGGTATAGCTGGATCTTGAGGAAGCAATATTCCTAATTGTCTGAGTAAGTGCCAGGTTGATTTCCAAAGTAGTTGTACAGGTTTCCATTCCAGCAATGGAGGAGGCTGCCCATTTCTCCACATCCTCTCCAGCATGTGTTATCACTTGAGTTTTTCATCTTAGCCATTCTGATGGGTGTAAGGTGAAATCTCAAGCTCGTTTTGATTTGCATTTCCCTGATGACTAAGGATGTTGAACATTTCTTTAAGTGTTTTTCTGCCATTCGATATTCCTCTCTTAAGAAATCTGTTTAGCTCTGTACCCCATTTTTTAATTGGATTACTTGATTTGTTGCTCAACTATGTTTGTAGCAGCTTTATTTATAATAGCCAGAAGCTGGAAACAGCCCAGATGTCCCTCAGTTGAGGAATGTATACAGAAATTGTGGTATATCTACACAATGGAATATTTCTCAGCAATAAAAAACATGGAGTTCATGAAATTTGCAAGTAAATGGTGGGAACTGGAAAAGATCATCCTGAGTGAGGTATCCCAGAAGCAGAAAAACAAACATGCTATATATTCACTCACTATATATTATATTAGACATATAATATAGGATAAATATACTAAAATCTGTACACCTAAGGAAGGTAATCAAGAAGGAGGACACTGGCTAAGATGCTCAATTCCCTTTCAGAAAGGCAAAGGGGATGGACATCGGGGGAGGGATAAAACAGTGAACATGAGAGGAGCCTACCACAAAGGACCTCTGAAAGGCTCTTCCCTGCAGGGTATCAAGGCAGATGCTGAGACTCATAGCCAAACTTTGGGCAGAGTGCAGGGAATCTTATGAAAGAAGGGGGAGATAGTAAGACCTGGAGAAGATAGGAGCTCCACAAGTCGAGCAACAGATCCAAAAAGTCTGGACACAGGGGTCTTTTCTGAGAGTGATACTCCAGCCAAGGACCACTCATGCAGATGGCCTGGAATCCCTGCACATGGGAGATAGATCAGTGTCCAAGTGGGTTCATAGTAATGGGAACAGGGACTATCTCTGATAGGAACTGATTGGCCTCCTCTTTGATCACCTCCCCCCTGAGCGGGGAGCAGCCTTACCAGGCCACAGAGGAAGAGGATGCAGCCACAGCCACTCCTGATGAGACCTGATAGACTAGGATCAGAGGGAAGCGGAGGAGGATCTCCCTTATCAGTGGACTGGAGGAGGGGCACAGATGGGGAAGAGGGAGAGAGGGTGAGATTGGGAGGGGGAGGAGGGAGGGAACTACAGGGGGGAAACAAAGTAAATAAACTGTAATTAATAAAAATATTTTTAAAAAATTTCCTTAAAGCAATGAAAATGTATCACTTCTTTTCATTATTTGAATTAGCCATACATAGTACTGTGTGACACAATTATAAGGATATTATAAAGATGTAAGAATTCTATTATCAAGATTTATAGATTGTGTAAATTAATATTCCTCAAACCACAATGCAAAATGAATACTGTTTTTAAAAACTATGCTTTGTCTAAGAGGAAAATAGAATTTATACAATCAGAAGAATACATCCTGCTGTTTTCAGGTGAAAGATTAGTCTATTGTTTTTCCCAATGAATTTCTGACATTTTTATTCTTTTACTTATTCTCCCATCTGTAAGTATATTTACCGGTAATGTTAGAATGCAAATCCTCAAGCTTAGAGCAATTTTAATAATGCCTTTTAAAGAGGCCTTGGGAGAACATGGCTTTCACCTCGATCTGGGAAATCAAGCATTTATTTTGTTTAAGTAGGAAAAAAAAAGCATAAAAAATTGTCTCAGTTACATAAAACATTCTTCCCCCTTCTCTGTGCATTAGCCAGGAAAGATACGGACACTCAGCCTAAATAAAGAAAGGGGCTCACTTACTAATTTGATGCGGTGGCCAGGAATGGCACTGATCACCCATGCGCACTCCTTTCTGCTTGGATACTTGTCTGGCCAGTTGGGACTGGTGATGAGGCCACTTGGGCTGTGGATCTTCTGTTCACACTCAGCTGTGCCAATAACAATAACAATAGTGTAATTTGGTTATGGGAATCTAATGCAGGATTAGGCCAGAAAACATGTAGCCTATTTGCCCCTGCTCTGCTGAAAGATTTCACTACACGCTAGCTAATCATCACACCGTCCGATGTTGCCATTTTCATCTGCTTTGGAAAATCTGTTGCTGAACAGGATCAGGCAGGGTTTGTAGTCTGAATCACTGGAAGTGTATGTTTGCCACAGACCACATAAGTGTCTAGAAGAAAATGAACTTCTATTTTAAACTATTGGATTGGAAATTTCAGACTTTAGTAAAGCAACATACATTGGAAATCAAGCACGTCAACACTGGGCCTCAGCAGAATATGTAATATGTCACCACTAGGAAAAGTCCATGGACTGTGTCCTTTCCCATGCCTATTCTGCTGTCAGCAGAAACATCACTTAATGATAACTAACTTTGTTAAAGTATTCTATGACTCATAAAATTATATTTTCTCTCTTCTATAGTTAAATATCTACTTGAATGTCTACACTGTCATTTTAGCTGGCAAAATGAATTATCCCCAATGTGATTTGGTGGAATTAAACTCTAAGGTTAAAAGTAAACAAATTGTTACTAACGTTGAGGGGAAATTCTGAAGTAACTTTAATAAGTGTCTCAGTAAATTACCATAATATGTCATTATGTTTCTCACAACTGATGTCACTTTAGATAAGACCATATTTGGAAGATTCTTTCTTACATAGATAATATGCTTATTTCACTGAAGAGCTTCGGTATAGTCAATTGAGACAGTTTTTCCTGCTGTCATGAAAGTTTCCTTCCTACCTAAAACACCTTCCACGTTCTCATCAAAACATTTGATTTTCAACAGAGGAATACAGAAGAAGGAAGAGGAAGAGGAGGAGAAGCGAAGAAGAAGAAGAAGAAGAAGAAGAAGAAGAAGAAGAAGAAGAAGAAGAAGAAGAAGAAGAAGAA